AAATAAGACAGAATTAAAATTTTATTTTGAAAAAATAATTTATTAATATTTATTTGATGTATCAATCTTTTTGCACCAGCCCATAATTATTATTATATTAAATTATAGAGAATTTTTTATAAAAAATAAATATAATTTAATATTTAATTAGATTTTCTTATTATCTAAAAAATCAAATTATTAATAATACTATTCTAATATTAAATAAATTTAAAAAATGTTATAAATTCTTAAATATATATAATTAATAACAGAAATAACTGCACTCATTTATGAATAACAAATAATTACTATTAATGAGTTTAAAGTATAATTTTAATAAAATTACAACCATCATGATTAGATCAACTTACTCCGGTCTTCTTCAAAAAATCTCCGAATAATTTGAATAGTAGCCGGGGAGGTACTAAGGTTTGTTAAAAACCTGGTAATGCCATACGTAGATCAATCAACCGACCATAAATTGTGAATTTTTATCAGTAATGACGAAGCAAAAAAAGAAAAGAAAAACGAAAGACAGATGTTCAAACATAGCATGAAGTACCAATAAAAGACATAATACTCCAAACCGACCTTATCTGGTTTTAATTAAACCGTAAAAATGCAATTTTACGACTGGCAGCATTATACTGATACCGGGATACTTTCAAAAATGCCATTCAGATTGAATAGTATTCCCGTAATATACGACTTTACCACAAGGATACTGTAGACAGCGCTATACGGTATATCCTGGCATTGTCCATTTCCTCCATAGTAATCGTCTTATCAGTACGAGTCTAAACAATTCAAAAATAATGATAATTTATGTACAATAACATTGCATAGCGATAGCATAGGAATTTGATATTTACGTTAATGCGGAAATTGGTCTCACATCTTTGAATGGTGGACATCACCTGATCCCAACGTCTTTCTATAGAAATAAAGCTTTTTATTAATTTCTGTGTGTGGACTTTACCAAGATTTGTGCCACTCGCGTGAAAATTTTAAGATATGTGAACTAACCTAATTTAGAAATTAAGGATATCATGACTCACCTATTTTTTTCAAAGAACTTTTGACAAGGTGTTAGTATTTATAAAAACAGTGATTTGCACCTGGTCCCATGCCAATAGGGGTGATAGAGAAATCAGCGAGAGCATGAAACTGTTTCGGTGATATTCTTATGAGTGATCATTTTTTAGTTTGCGTGTATATTATAAAGTCGAAAGAGAAGGAGATAGTTAGTGGACTAGAAAAAGAATAAAATGCTGAAAGGTCTTCTTTTGAACTTTTTAACAATCAAAATGCATAAATGATATAAATTATAACATATTAAATCTAGACTTTCATTTTTGGCGAAATTAAATAATTCATAAAACATATCATAATTGATACAGCTAATGCAAATGAACGATCCATTGTTCATGCAATCTCTATAGAATCAATAGGTGAAAAGTCCCAAAGAAGCAACTGAATTTTAAAAAACAAAGGAAATACTCATAATGAATAGGAAAAAAATATTCTATAAGAAAAAATGAATTCATGACTGTTGCGTTAATATTGTGAAAATGGGATTACTGATTTAGTACCCAGTTTTCCGACTTCCATTTCCGTAAGTTATTGTAAATATATGTAATCGGATACAACGTTGGTATGTGATCATTTTTAATCGCTAGATGGTTCTTCGGATTGAGATGCCTGCATGTCGCGTTTTTTTAAAATATTATTGCGAACTGGGACTTTTATTCCTTGATTCGCAAAGCATCTCATCAAAGCAGTGCTTTCTTTAAGATGATGATTATAAAAAATATTTAGTTTTATTCAACACCAATTGCAAAACGAGCCTTATTCCTACCAAGCATCCCAGGAAACTTCTTCGCGGGAAACACTTCAAACCTATTAGAAGTTACACTAGCCAAAATATCCGATGCCGAAGATCCCGTATTAATAATTTTTCGTAGATTATTCGAAGTCGGTGGAAAGTTGGTAATTCTAATACAGAAAAGGTTGTAATAAATAAAAACACAAAAGATGCTCGTACTCTCGCGATAAACACGTACATGCCCACATCTATCAAACTGAAACTTAGTTTAAATAGCCCATCAGTTCTTACGCTTAAATCCGGGAACATAAAATATATGCCTGGTACACCGTTAATGTCGTTTAACGTGTATGGAGATGCGACATGATTGCCAAGTAAATTATTGGTCAAAGATTGTTTAGAGTTTGCGGGATATGACTTAGAAGAAAGATGTGTAATTATCATAGCTTCATCGATGCCGTTTTCTTTCAAAAGAGATGTATGAACCACAAATAAGGAGCAATTTATTTCGCTTTTGAGATGAAAAAATGTGGTATAATTAAATTAGTAATTTTTTTAACCATAAAAAATAAAGGGTTGTTTGTAAAAAAAGGAAATTCATTCGAAAGCTTACTTTGGATGTTTGATTTTTCCTTGACCATCCTTGACAATTAATTGAATTACTGGTGCCGGAGAAATGGGTCTTCGATCCTTAAGAGTACTTTTAGCATAAATTGTGTGATTTATCATATGCATCAAATGTTAGAACAATATTAAACCTTATCACCGAATCCGCACATACGTGCGCGTACAGGTTGTTGGGCAACCACGATTTCATATTTCCAAGTCAGTGGATTCCTGAATTCCAACAAATCAAGTATTTACTAAATAGTTAATTTAGAGCCTAACATTGAATGACTATCTACCCTGAGCTTATGCTATCGAGATTAACTTCAAGTGTCTCTTCACTTGCGTATTCAGCTCGTTTGAGATATTCATTTGGCGTATTTAAATTTAAAACTGGCTTCGCTCGATTTGTATTCGTACTCTGCCTCTGTGTATCTGAAGTGACTGGGTTAGCATTTGAGATAATATGAGAATTTCTTGAAGTCGCATGAGATTGTGTGTTCGATGAGCTAAGAGCTAAGTTATATTCGTTTGAAACCTGCGACGAGTTTCCTTCGCTAGAAAATTCGTTCACATTAGAAGACATAATGAATTGAGTGGTATAAGATATTTATTAAGTTTTTTTTTATCTCGTTAATAGAAAACCTCCAAAATGAACCACATATTTCTGAAAAGAATCATTGAATCTAGCTAAAATTAGGAGAATTTATGTTTAAAAGTCCTTTTATTAAGATTAATTGGACGACGTTTACCTGGCTTAAACACGTTTGCCGATTATCAGTGATACAGTATTGCAGGGTTTTTATTTATAAAGCAACAGTATGTATTAAAAATGGAATCAAGGGGAAAAAAACTATTAAGCATCGAGAAAATGTATTGAATAAAAATTCAACACACATCGTTAACAATTCGTTCACGCTTTTAAATTTAGGCGAGGTTTATTTTGTATTTAAAGCATTTAAGAAAGCGATACAGTTAACGGAAAAATTTTAATCGCCTCACACCAGGTTTCATTTATACAGTTATGTAACGTTAATTACCCGGCATATACTGTACGTGACCGGGATGCTGCCTGGTTTGGGTGAGACAATGTGCGTTTATTTTGGTTTGACGACTAAGCGATTTTTATTTTTAGAGTTTTGCTGTAGCCAATTAAATTTAAACCCGTTAATGCTATTATTTTCGCTTAAGCTTTGTGCTTTAGAATGTATTAATTATCATCCTTTAAAGGATAAAGAGGTAGCGAATCATTTAGATCTAGGGGCAAAATAACAATGCTTAATTTCTTTAATAAAGAATGTTGTCAATTCATCTAATTGATCTCATAGTGCTGCTGCATAAAGTAAGAGCGCAAAACAAAGACATTTGATATCGTTATGGTAAAGGTTAATTAAGGGGCAGGTGATCACATATATGTACAAAATAAATCCATTGTTGTCGACGCATGATCAAAGTGTGACACGAAGAAAACGTAAAAAAAGGGTTCAAATGATGAGAACCAAAGACCTACCTATTCCCTTAAAAGCTGTATCTTTATCTAGGATCAAAAAATGTATCTTCTAATTACATAACGAGTGTCAATATCAGATCTGGTTTGTCTGTGAGGTTTCTCAAAAAACACATTTGTGCACAAAGAATTATTATTTATTACCTTATAAATCATAAATCTGTGACAGGTAAGAAAAACAATAATCTGTTTTATTAGTACATTCCCAAATGTTATGTCGTTTTTACCGAGGGAGAATTATTTGATTCTGTATTTCGTTTCACTCATGTATTTATAAAGCCTATTCTGTTGATTAAATATGAGATAAGTGTTTAAATGAGCTTGTGAATTTTATGAGAAGCATTGATGCAAAGCTATTGTAAAGACGGCTAAATTTCTATGATGATGTAAAAAGCATGTTAATGAATAATTTAATATGAATCTAATGTTTATACGTCTGCATCAGTGAAATAAGTCGCACATTGAAGTAAAGCTGAAAAAGGTCAAAATTTGGCTTACCATTCTGACTTTAGTTACAAATCTTACCTTTTAAAATAATAAAATTAAATTATTGAATTTTTGCTTAATTTATCAAAGCACATTGATGCATGACTACATGTGCCAACATTTTGGGCAGTGTTACGACATTTTGCAGATCTTAACGTTTGATTCGGGTACTGAACTGGGGATCATATTAGAGTTTGTGGGTTTGTGATACAGGGGTCTTGTATACTGTATCAACATTATGCCAGTATTGTTGTTATACCAACACCATTGGTTCAGTCCGTTTTGGCGGACAAGCGTTTTGGCATTGGGAAATAATCAGCAATGTAAATGAATGACTTTAATACATGTATGACGTTATGAACTGTAGATTTGGGTCGTCCTAGAGTTTCTCCAATTTCTGTTTCAGAAAAACCATACATCCAAGCTCCAATTTTATTTTGTCACACTCAAAATCCATAAGTTGCATAAGTTGGTAAACTAATTCTGCTGGGGTTTGACATCATTTTTGAAAAGTTTAGGATTCAGCTTTTTTTATGAGCCATTTTGAATTTTGTATGTCGCACAAGCGAATTTTTTATTTGTGCCCTAGTTTCAGATCACATGCTAAGAATGCGCAAAACATATATGTGCCGACAACTATTAAAAGTTTTTTTCAGAGTTAGGGTTGGGTTAGAAATAAGGTTTGTAAAATTGCGTTTGACATTTTTATTAGAGCTTAAATTCAGATTTTTGATTGTGTTTTACATGTGATCACGAAACAAAAAAGCACCTCAAAAATTCATGTCGATCACGCCCGCCAAAACTTTTGTGCACCGAGTGTCGTACATGTACTGTACATGTAAAATACACTGCGTTTTTTCTATATAACGTTACATCCTAAATAAAGTTAGCAATTCCCGGCAAACCAAATCCGACACAAGAAAAATACGGGTAATAGATGCCCGAATCCAACTTGTACCGAGCAATTAGAAAAATAATGTTATCGTTATTAAATAAAATATTTATATATTGAATATTGTAATTTAAACTGGATTCTTACAATATATGCTATTTACATGAGTTAGTCATTACAATGGATTAATAACGACGATAATAAAATAATAATAATAATAATAATAATAATTAGAATCTCATTCATAGGTTTTCTATATCATTTAATAATGCAACTAACAATTAAACTCTAATTATAAATAATTATTTGAAATAAAAATAAGAGAAAGGAATAAAGAAATGAATCAATAAATAGTTCAATAAATAGTTCTCTAAACTTTATATGGTTTTATCGCTTCTTGATAAGAAGGCGGAGCTTCCATCATATAAGTTTCTGTTTCGTTCGGTGATTGTTGGATTACGGTATTGGAGTTTAAATGATCGCTTTGGACTTGTGGTTTTCGATTATTTGCGGATGATTGTTGTTGTGGTAATGGTTTTTGCTGTGGTTGCGTAGTTGATTGACCAGAGATAGCATCAGCAATTAATTTAACAATTGTTTTAAAGATAATATGTCTATCTTCGCGTTTACTGTTACGACGGTTGTTACGCTGGTGACAACGACGTTGGTGGTGTTTGCACATTTTTTGTTTGATAAATTTGATCCTAGTTTGTAGTAATGTTTGTATAAAATATTGTAATCCTGGATTTTTAAATTCATCAGGTTCAACAAAATAACTTTGTATTTATACATGTACTTGCGAGTCGCAGCAAATTATCTTGGCATTCTTCGATCTCCAATGGAATTTTCTCATCTGACATATATTGCCATTTATGAACATACATTAATAATAGAAAAAAAAGGATTTTCTGAATGGTAGAACATATTCTAGCAATAATTATTAAACTTTCTAGCAAGAATTTTATACATGTATCAACAATTTTTCTTAACAGAACAATCCATGCAAGTGCAATGACGCCGCCAAGATCTAGTATCATAACAATTCAAACGTATGTACATCCTCTATAAACCATAGATAAGCTAAAAAGTGCAAGATATTCGTTCTTTGGATTTCGTTGTTATGTTAAAACAAAAAATGTATAAGTTGATGGAGAAGTTATGAGCGTGGAAAATAAATGAATAAATTCCTGTAGAATATCAAGAAAAAAAAAGGTGTTAAAGTAAATCTATGAATAAGCATAAAATATGCTATCTCGTGTATTCCTTTTCTGCTTGAATTCATATTTTTTCAACTCATTACAAACAGGACCATCAAAGTTGAATAATCATCCCAAAGAAACAACGCATGGCAAAAGATAGAATCGACTATAAAAATTGACAAGAAGTATTTTACAATAATATTTAGAGATTCGGATGGATTTAAGGAGAATGGAGCCGCAACTTCTCAAAACGATAATATTTAAGTATAGTCAGCCCTCATTAATATCAACATCCCCGTTGTTAGAACATAAGGTGGATTTTTTGATATAAAAATTCCTTCATAGTCAACTTCCCATTATCAACGGCCAATCAGTTGTTTGTATTTTACGCATATATCAAAAATTGCTCAGTCCCGTAAGGTTGATAATAACAAGGGATGACTGTATGTTGAAAGTGTTCGATGAACGTTCGTAGAAATCCTAACTGAATTCACAAACTCTATTCTGGAAAAAATGTTTCAGATAAATTTGACTTAAAAGTTTTAAATTGAAGCACAATAATTCTTTTACAGCACAGGAAGGAATTAAATCACTTGCGGCATTTTTAATGTTCTCGTAATAATAAGAATTACAACGTTGTCTAACGTGATTCTCGGACAAGACGGTAGAATTGAGCCAAATTTTCGAAAAAAATCAAAAAATTTGTATACAACGTGATTTAGTTTAGACTAGTATGCTTTGGGCAGTAGTCACCATATTTAACATCAGACGATGACATATAGATTCGGAAGCTTTGTTCATTTGTTTATTTATGGTTTTCCCACGGGTGACTTGATTGTCGATAATACGTCATCAAAGACTATCATAATTATATATACTTTGATGCAATCTCCTTAATCCCCACTTTTAATTAAAATGCATTTGGGCACTAAAGTCATCAACAAAAAAAAAGAAGATTTCGATTCGCCCGAAATGTTACAACAAAAGACGAATAAGCTGATGGAGCTGATTCGTAAAGCAAAGTTTGTTGTGGTGTTCATCGGCATTGATAGTTTTGTGAGCAAACATGAAGGTACGATTATTAATTATCTAATTTAAAGAATGGAATAACTGTCAAGTTAGATCTTGTTAACTCATGTGTGTAAAGGTAATACAATTACGAAGTCACAGCAGCCCACGAAAGGCCAAAAAGTACTTGTCCGATTGTTCGAACTTGGATACATAAAATACATTGTATCACAGGTAAACCAATAAGAATATTTCTTCTTGATTCGTTCATCACTCTAATCTACCACTACCCTTAGACTATAGACGGGACCTTAATCAGATATGGAATGCCATTGACAGCCATTTGTGAGTTAAATGGGAATGTTAACATTGAAAGATGTCCGGAGTGTAAAAGATCATATTGGAGAAAGTTTAATATTTTGGAAGAGAATGGTTGCGAAGGTTTTCGTAATAATAATCATCAGACTTGTCGTCGATGTTATAATTGTGGATGTAAGTTCTTTCAAATGGTTATTATTTATTTTCATGGCATCATCGTTATGACACATTTTCCTTTGCAGACTTTTTGCGTGACACAATCATTTATCCTAATGAAAGCATACCGAATGAATCTATTCAGAAAGCGGCAATTCATACGCGTCAATGCGATCTCTTGATTATTCTTGGTACTTTATCGACAATGAACCCCATAAAAGACCTTTTTTCACGACCCTCTGAAAATCTCTCAACAATAATAATCAATACACAAAAATCACCACAAGACATTAACCCCTTCACTCTACGCCTTTTCAGCCGACCGGACGATGTTCTACTTTTGATCTCCAGATACTTCAAAATTTCCGATCTTGACAAACTCAAAGATCTCGTCAGCAACGATGACTCCTTTCTCGAAATGATTATTTTGCCAAATCCGACGCGAAAGTTGGATGCAATCAGGGAAACTAGAATAGAATTACGTAAATGGTCGATTGAAAAGTTGAATGAGGTGTTGAAGGAGCGTGGCGTTGTTTTACATACTTCGGTTGACAAGAATGAGTTAGTGGAGATATTTTTGCGGAGGTGTGGTGACATTGTGTATTGGATTTAAACATAAGATTGTACGAGCCATTTATTGTTTTGAAATAAAAAATTAACAGTTGTATTAAATATTGTTACATTTGCTGATCTCCTATTAGGAATTAGTGCTTGGGAGGTAAAAAAATCCCATTCCTATTATTGTAAAAACGACAAGTCGAAGTATACCAGTTAGCCAATTTGATTTTCCCTAAAAAAGAAAGAAGGTCAAAAATCGGGATCAAAAAATCATTAAAGAAATACAAAAAACAAAAACCTGAACAAATATGCATGTCAAATACACAGAAAGAAATAAAGCAATAGTTTCAACAAGGCCGAATGCCAGTGTCATTGGCTTGCCGATTATCCAACCAAGAATTACGAGAAACGGTGCGATAAATAAGGAAATTTGCTATTAGCAAAATTTTAAGCAAAAATTAATGCTAAATACGAAACGATTGTAAAAATGCCAAAGGAAAATACTTACCACACAAGTATCTGATACTTCACAAATGGCTTCTGGTAGTTTTTGTCTACCGAAATAACATTCTTTCACCGAATGGAACTTTCATCAGAGAAAGAAGTAAATATAATAGGATAATAATTTAATTATGATGACTTTGATCCTTTTATTACCTCTGGCACTTTTGCCACTATAGGAAGCAGAATTAATCCAATAAAAGATTGATTCATCACCGAACCATTAACAAGTCCTTCGATTGAATTTACCAACATGTCACCAGAGAGTCCTGATAAGACAACTACTACTAATAGTAAGAAGGCTTTTTGCAGCGAGAATTGCCTTTTTTTGTGTTTCTTGAATTGCTCATAAATTTTGATGTAGAGATATTGATGTGTTTTTAACTAAAGAAAGAAAATTTAAATTCAAGTTTGTATTGGAATCAGGAAATACGGGGCTGATAAAATACCTTAAATCTCAAGTAAAAACTGTAAATAAAAGGCATCAACAACGCCGCGTACCGGCTGAATTTCAATATCGTGCCAGCATTCGAGTTATACATTAACGCACTAAACACGGCTAACGTCAATGAAGATAATGTCATCAAGCTGGCATCCACTTTTGCGGTGGTGTCTGGATACGAAAGATCTTTAACTTTGATTCCAAATATTAAGCATTTTAATCCGAGAATCAGTAAAAGACTAGAGATTATTGAGCCGAATAAATAAGAATGCACCATATTTATGTTTCCATTTTTTAAAGTTATAGTGGCGAGTATCAAGTCTACGGAATTTCCAAACGTCACATGGAAGAAGCTGCCGAGAGTCTAAGCATGTTGGAGAAATTCAGTAAAAATATATCAAAATTCAAGTAGAATTGAAAAATGGAAAATTTACCTGACCAATTTCTTCTGATACGGAATCCGCCAATTTATCCATAATATGCGAAAGTGGCAAAAGCGCGAGGAAATTGAAAACAAAAGTAAAAGTATCTCCCCAATTCAAATAATTCGATAACATTCCAAAAGGTAATAAGACCAAAAGAAAATTTATTCCTATTCTATGAAGAATTCTATCCGCTTTTGTTCTTTCTTCCGTCTTCTTTGTTCCTTCATCTAGTTTATTATGCTCTAATGTTGTTATTCCTATTGGTAATGCATTATTATTCAGTTGTGGTGGAAATTTTTCGTTTGTTGTTATTTCTATTAATTGTATTTTTCGTTGCTGAACATCAACATTTGGATTAAAATCTAATTTTTGATTTTTAGAGGATAAATCGATTTCATCTAGTATAATTATTGATGATTCCGTTTTGTCTGCATTTTCCATTCTGATAATTTTCGTTTATTAACGTTAACAATATTGTTCGGGATGGGATTGTAATACATCAATAATAGGTAATACTTACTATTATTTCCTGCATGATCTCCGGAAAGAATCAAGGCTCCATCAAGCAAAGCCCGGAGAAAAATTCCCGAGCACCATTTTCATCTCGATCCATTACAGCCCCACAACCTCGACACTTGTACATCCGCAAGTTTTTGAAGTATAGGCCTCATTTTGGATAATAACATGGACCCCTAATTCTTCAGCTTTAGCTACCAGACGTTGACAAAATTGATAATGAGCCCAACAGAGCATTTTACGAACAGTTTTCGTGTTATATTTCTTGTTTTTCGATTTACTATATTTGATACCTCAAAAGGAGGAATGATAATGGCATCAAATTCGCGAGTAAAAAATGCAACACTCTTTTTATGAATTTCACTTTGCAAATATTTGATTTTTCGTATCATCCGAGAAATTGCATTATCGAGTCGCAATGCCTTTTATTTTTACGTTTTGAATTAGAGGCAGCCAGCTTGTCCCTTATAGAATGAAGATTATCCATATATTTGCATAAACGAATAACTCGTCCAATATCATATTGGCCAATTTTACCTACACCTTTAGTAGGAGAGTACCATGTGAAGGGTTTACGAACGCCAGGGTCAATGGAAACTGCATGAACAGAACCATCCGCTTGGGTTTCGCGGAGCTGTTTTTGCATCTCATAAATCCATGAAAATTTCCATTACGAATAATATGTGATTTTACAATCAGATGTTATCTTGTGAGGAGCAGGCCAAATGAAGAGCCACAAATCACGTTTATTATGACAACAGGCTTGTGGCGATGTGTGTGGATAAGTGGCGATCATAATTAAAAAATAATTTTCGTTGTATTAAAATATCTCACGCCATTTTTTATTTTGTTCGTAAATAGTATAGTTTTTAGACTATCAAAACTAAATATGGATGCATAGAATAACTATCGCTATCACGCAAATTACGCGTTTATTCGGTAAGTACTGTTGCACATAATAAACTTTACTAACTACTAATTTTTTTATTTATTTATTAGGTAGAATTCGACCTATCCTACCATCTCGTATAGCCACCTCGTGCCTTTGCCTTTATTACATCACGAATTCTTTCTGGATCAGGTTGGTACAGGTTTCAACATCAATTTCCTGCCAAACCTGTTGTATCTTGTTCCACAAGTCTTCCTTCCCTGAAATTTGCCCAGGAAGACACCGGAGACGACGATCAACCTCATTCCATAAATGCTCGATGGGGTTTAGATCGGGAGA